AACATGTTTATATGACTAAACATCCTAGTCAGCTCTGTTAACAGAAAATCTAACATCATAACCCCTTATGCAGGTTTACGTCTAATATTATTAGTTTGGATAGAAAATTTTAAATTTTATTAAGTTGGGGTATGCGTCTAATTTTATTAGTTTGCCCTATGAGTTAGGGTATATAATTTAAATATTATTAAGTTGGGGTATGCCGAAACACCCCAAATAATGTTATCTCTTATAAAGGAGGGGTTGATTTCGAGACCTCGAATTAAATGAATATTCATTGGGTCCATAAACTCCCGAATTAAATGCTATCTCATATACTTTGCCTTTTGTTGGTTTAGGGAAAGTATATAGAATCCATGAATCTTGGCAAACTGAAACGTTTATTCTGGATCCTAACATGACCCGGATATCCTAATATAAAAAATCTCTAGCTGATAATCGACTCTTCCAACCATATAAGAGGAAGAGTAAGGCTTATTCGTCATAATTTTTTTCACAAATTTTAAAAATATTACATTATAAACCTGCATATATTCAATTCTAAATCTAATACTGAATAGAACATATATATAGAATTTTTTTTGTTTTTAAATTACTATCTGCCGTATGTAAATTTTTTTTTTTGTCAACAATTTTTTCATTAATTTAAACGATCAGAGTACAAAAGGATGGAATTAAGCATCCTCCATCATTGATACAACATAATTGAAATGCGATAAAACATAAAGCAGATATATCATCGTAAAAGACGGACATCGGATCCAAGACATGTCTCGAATGCGTCAAGATGGTCTTCACGGCAAGGCTGGAGAGTCTCAGGGTAGTCACTTTACATTGTGACTTTGAAGAACCCGGCATAATACCCGGGGATTCGACCACTCTCAAAGAGATGAAAAAAAGTGGAATTGGACTCTTCTACCCGGAGTAAATTACAGGGTTTGAGAACTCATAAAACTTGTATCTTCTCACAATAGAAGAGATATAATCATTAAAAACTACAGGATTTGAGAATCTAGAAAACTTTGGCCCTCTCACAATATAAAGGGTATATGATTCAATAGATCTCCTTCCCACAAGGGAAGGAAGGCGATATCATGTTTCTTCTGGTAAATTCAGAAGCAGATTCGGATAATGGGCCATGACCTTCTTGTACATAAATCGTCCTAGTCCATTGCAAACCCCTAACAAGGCTCATAGAAACAACTAATAAACCAGACTTAATTGTAAGGTCCATACCCATGTTGGGCCAATTGTGAATCCAAAAAAATGGGCCAAAGGAGGCCCAACAAACTAAATGCTTTGATTCAGCCCACCTCCCACACAAATCTTGTTCCGGCTAGCCGACATGTATTCACCGGAGACGAGAACACGGTGAAGAGCTTCTCTAACAGAAAATTTCGGACCAGACCCAGATTAATGTAAATGCAGAGGAGGTTGAAAATTTGACCTTTTACTGTAGGAATTCGATTGCTCGGATTACCGCCGGAAGAAGTAGGCAGTACGAGGGCGGCGGCGACGACTGTATTCCGGGCTTCATATGGATTGATAACTGAGCAGCGGAAGCCGGAAAAAGCACACGAGCGGAGCAAGTTTACAAGGGCTAATCCTTCGGCTATGTCCGAGATGAAGGGCCGTGAGCCACGATGGATATAAGTACCAGATCTCAACATTACACGATGGTGGTGAGCGGCGGATGAACTCAGTGACAGGGATGAGCCGTGACCAGTAGATATACGGTTTTGATCGAGTATATCCACACCATGGAGGCACGAATCAAACACAGAAGAATATGTGAACATAATCGACAAGACCAGTGAGCAGAAAGAAACACAGTCTGACGCCGGCGAGCCAGAGTTCCACCAGCGCCGGAAAAAGTTGAAACTTTTGTTGTCTCGATAATTGTGCTAGAGAGAATTGCGGCTAGGTCAAAAGATAAGGATACCGTATGTAAAAATTTGTTCTCTACAAATTCTATACCGATGTTATAACTTCAATTTAAAATTAAAAAAATTCTAGATTTGGTTCGAATTGGACTCCCAAATATATCCAAACGATTGGAGAACCAATTCAAATTTCAAAAAGTAAACAAAGAAAAGGAATTTTCTGTCAATCTCAACCCGATCAAGTTAACGGTCAAAATTCGATCAGAAGAAAAAAAAGAAAAGAGATTAGATCTCGGCGACGGCGGCCTGCACCGTCGTGTTCACCATGTTCAAGAGAGACGACTACATTCGAACTAAACACGACGCCGTTTTTCCCAAGTGGCAGGTACCCTCTCATTTGTTCTCTTCTCTTCGTCTCTCTCTCCAATTGATTCTGGGTTGGGGGTTTCAGCGGAATGTAAGATGGAGCAAAATTCCGGTCGAGTTTGAGCGATTTCTCTTGGAAATTCGTGGAATTTGATCTAAAGATCTCATTTTTAACGCCTACCAATTAAACGTTACACTTTTCTTCAACGTTTCTTTGTTCGATCAACCAAGATTCTGAGTAGTTTCATTTTATGCTTCTGGGTTTTTTCCAGGGTTTTGCCCGATCCATGCTTCTTCGTAAACCCTTTTCAGAAACTGAAGAATTACGGAGGACTTTTGCGGACTACTCCTCCATTTCTCGCGATTTAGGTCCAAAGGTCACACATTCTGTCTCCTCCATCACATTGCAACTTGTATTTTTGTTGTATATAAGTTAACTAGGTGGGTTAGTCTCATGTGTTATCAAGCTACGCACTTTCTCTTTAGTGATTAAGTTGGAAACTCAATCTTTTTATGTCAAACTTTTACTTGACACAGATTATGGTAGGGGCTAACAGTATGGAAGATTTCAGAAAGGGAAAAGATTGTGTAGGTAGATACAGAGTTCAAGGATCCTTACCGGGTCTGTATGAGCTCGGCGTAGCTGTCATTGGTCATGACCAGGGCCGAAAAGTTGACTCAGGTGACGATCTTGTGGCTTATCTTGGTCAAGCTGAAACCATTAGATCTCGACTCCAGCCTTATGGTACCCATCATGACTTGCTTAAGACACTTGACGAAACCGAGTTTATGAACCAGAGAAAGTCAGGTTTGTCTCAAACGAAAATTAGCAACAGAACCGAAGAGAAGCAACATTATCTTGCAAAAGGGCGAGAGAGCAGCTGTGATGCAGCGATACCTAGACTCAGTCGGTCCAGACCTCAATCGGTTTCAGACAGACATGATGGGTCTGATTCTGCATCTGTTTGTGGAGTCTTACTACAAGATGGTACTATTTGCACTACAACTCCAATTGAAGGAAGAAAGAGATGCACAGAGCATAAAGGGCAGAGGATTTCAATTGTTTCCCTCGATAAACACTTACCGTGTGAAATTCCAACCGGAAAGGAATGTGAAGAAAATGAGAACATATGTGGAGTCATTTTACCTGACATGGTACCTTGCAGAAGAAAACCTGTTTCAAGGAGGAAACGATGTGAGGATCACAAGGGAATGAGAACCAATGCCTTCTTCTTTCTGTTCAACCCAACAGAACGCGATAAAAGCGTCAAATCGGAGAAATCCAAACCTGAGACATTTACAGGCTCAATGAACCAAGAGAATTTGGGTCCGGGTCTTTTCTGTGAAGCTACAACAAAGAATGGTTTGCCTTGTACGAGAAGTGCCTCTAAGGGAAGCAGAAGATGCTGGCAACACAAGGATAAAACTTTGGACCACAGATCATCCGAAAATATTCAGCCAGCAACCATAAGGCAAGTAATGTGCGGAGTTAAGCTGTACAATGGATCGATATGCGATAAATCTCCAGTAAAAGGACGAAAGAGATGTGAGGAGCACAAGGGGATGAGAGTCACATCTTGAGTTCAAAGAAAGCATTGAGGTAACTCATTTTGTAAGTACCTAACATAAATGTCATGTACCAAGCCCGTTTGGTAATTGGTACCATGAAATCTGTTGTTTTCCCGATGGTGCTTTCCAACTTTAGATAGCTTAGCTTGTAATAAGTAGGTACAAGTTAATCGAGGTGAAGTAAGAAGAAGCGTCACTTATGTCTGTTATAAAATTTCTTCTGTAATTGTCATTTCCACCTCTACCTTGCTCTTCTTCGCATCATCCTCCACTATTTCTAGCCATTTGATCACACTTGTTTCACACAGACATGTCATCGGTTAAAGCATGGTGTGGAGTGAATTCAAAGAAGAGATGATGAGTATGAACAGTACACATGGACAAACACTCGTGGAGCTTCAAACTTAAAATTCCCCTTTTATCTTAACATGTTTTTTTTTGTTTCGTAAGGAGATACAAGTTTCTAAAGCAATCCCAATGGAAAAATCCATCAGATACAAACAGACAAGGAACCAAAAGACTTTTAAGCAGCGACAGACACAATACACTGAAGCAAAGACCAATGAACGATTAGAAAGAAAGAAATCCACCTGTCAGAGAAAGAATCAAGCCTGGTTTGAATTGCATAATTAAATCTCTACGAAGTCCATGGATAAGAATTCCTTCACATCGACATGATTAGATCAAATTTGAGTTTGTAAGCTAAGTAACATTGGAAACTTCATGAACGGAAGGTGAAAAAAAGCTTGAGAGAAATGCAAGGGACAATAGCTTTATAGCTTTTTAGGCAGATTTATGTTTCTGTTGCTGTTTCGAATATTCAAAAGAAGCAAGCAAGATTGAAGAAAGTTTGCAACATACATTCTTCATGTCGAAATGGTCAGATTACATCGACTTTCTAGTGGTTGCGTAAGGAAACTACCACTGGAATGTGTTCAACAAAATGCCTGAATCAACAATTCCATATTTACATACAAGTCCTAGAGTTTTCGACTGGAATACTGACATTGATTATTTGGAGGAACTTAGAATCAACTTCCGCCGCCCAAAAAATGGAATGTACAATTTCAAATTATATCCTGTGGTTTTAAATACCACAAAGAATCAGATCTTAGAATAAGGTGAAAACATTCCTTTACCTTGTTGTCACAGCCTTTGTTGCTTCTGTTTCCTCACGTGACGGGACTCTTAAGTGCAGCTTCATAACATCATACACTGTGAAGCCGATTGCCACGGACGGCACAACCTAGAGAACCCACAAGAGAAAAAGTTTGTAACTTAACTGTCCATTGTCCGAAAACAATGATAGATCGCTGTAACTAACTACTCACAAACCTTAAGGTAATTGATGCTTAGCCCAGAGAAGAGTTGCTTCCAACCTTCTTCTCTAGCGATCTTGAAAAGGGTTTGCATTGTTCCTCTTCGTCTTGTTTCTTCCTTAACGGCTGCAGATAGTCTCTCAACCTGCAGGAAGTTTCAGTTACAATACTACTAAGGATCATTTTGTCAAGATTCAAGGATGTGTTCAATGGAAGCAGAAGCAGATCACACCTGCATTTGTCTCCTGACAACATCGAGAGGGTACGTTACGGTCTGACCCAGCAATCCAGCGACCGATCCACATACGAGTTTCAGGGAAATGTCATTCTTATGTTCTGCAGGGACATGGCGTTTCATCTCCTCGTAGAAGTAGAACTTCAAACCAGCATAGGGGAAGATCCCATACATAGAAGGAGCTAGTCAAAGGTAACCAAAGAAAGATCAAATCTATTTTATTCTAAATTAGACAAGGAGAAGATCTAGCAACTCCAAAGGTATGACTAATACGTACCTACACCACGATATAGGCCTCGGAACCCAGATTCTCTGTATGTCCTCGAGAAACAATCGCCAATTCCTCTATACACAATTTGTTCCAGGGGAATAATCACTTTCGTTTGCGCCTTTGTTGAACCAACAACCTGCACTGCTGAATCCTCTATGAGCCTACTTAGCCTTTAGCTCCAGTTGAGACATAAATCACAAGAAGATTACCTACCTGATAAGCCAGTTTTGTCCGGACCAGGTCAAGAGGATAAGTGAATAGAACCGCGGTGCCACCAGCGAATGACCCAGCAACAAGATCAAGCAATGGGCCTCGAGTAGTGTCTGGGAAACCGACGATGATCCATCTCCGGTATTCCTCATAAGCCATGTAATGAAGAGCAGCATAAGGAACTATCCGAGCAACACTTGCACCATTCCCACTGTCAAAACCCGAGGTTAAGAATCTAATGTAAATCATTATGGCCTAATAAATGCTTGTAAAACTGGAGACAACATACCGGTAGAAACCCATCAAACCTTCAGTTCTGCCAATCTTGTTGATGGATCCAATGAGTCCAATCCTTTTAAACTCGTCCCTTCTGGTCTGAGAAGAGATCAATACATTGATGATGAGCTTCTATAATCAAGAGATTGCGCCAGAATAATTCAATAAACAGATTCCACAACACTAAACGAAGAGATTGATGCTTCAATCCGAGTTTGGGACGAATGAATACCAAAAAAAAAAACCCAAGAAGAATCAATGATTGAGACCTGGAACAGAATCTTAATTCGCTCGAGTGGAGCGACGGCGGTTTTAGCAATACCGCCGGTGACGCCGCCGGCAATAAGCTCCTTCGCGAACAAAGGTATCGAATCAATAATCCCGTTCTTCTCTTCGCCCTCCGCCATC